GCTGGCAGAAGCTGCTGTCAACATTATCGATGGAGATTCAGTCGTCGTCGACGAACAGGGCGACGAGACTGCCACGGTAGTTGCACCGGTCCTCCGACGGTCATCGCGTGTTCGGGAACAGCGCGGGGCTCGGGTCACGCGTGCGTCTAACGAAGCGTTGCCAAAAGCCAGGAAGGATCAAACAATCCGGCGGAAGAAACAGGAGACGACGCGGGTGGGCAATAAGCGCAAGTTGCCTCAGCAAGACGCCGAGCCGATCAAAAAGAAGCGCAGACTGTAGTGACGAGGGTATAATGGCAGGAAGGGAAGAAAGAGGAAGAAGCGCGAAATGGTCTAACGCTGAATGTTTTGAGTTCTGCGTATTGCAGTACTGAACTTATGTCTGATGTCATGCAGGTATTGTATAAGAATGTATGTCTCCTCTGTAACGTAATAAATCATCAATTTGACACGGAGGTTTGAGAAACGGCGTGTCTTCATTGAGGAGTGTGACAACGACGACCAGGGCCACGACGGCGCGGGGGCACGGCCAGACCTGGGGCCGGGTCCGTCGCAGTCGAGCGCCTCGTCAAAGTCTTCCCCCCACTCGCGGTAGCTCACTGAAGCTGTGGCTCATCGACAACTCCTACATATGTATATCGCTCTTTTGCATGTAACAAGCCTGTATCTCCACAGATGCACGACAAAGCAACGTCTGCTCTTGAGCGCGCCGTGGCCCCTGCCCTCCCAGGCATGATATGCATGCATGATCCATCAACCTATGATGATATCCGCCTTGAGCTCGTGCCCGTCGTAGACGGAATACTTGACCTCCGTTCTCCTCCCCTTCGCGCTTGTCACGCCGTACACGGGCAGCGTCTTCTCACGCATGAATGCCCTTGAGCCGCCGCCATAGTACTGGGGCAGGAGGACGAGCGCAGTGTCGTGCCCGACGAGACCGGTGACGACGTCACACCAACGCGCGTAGTTGTGCACGCCAAGGACGACGAAGATGCGCTCCCCGATGTCGGATTGGAACAGAAGTGCGCCCGATGTGCCGCTGGCGCCCATCCGGAGGACGTGGCGCCCGCTCTCCTCTGACCAGGTTCCGCCCCCGCCGTAGTTGAAGCAGATCTTCTCTACGATGTTGAAGAAGCAGTTCGGATTTGTCTGGTACACGCTAACGGTGATCGTGTAGCTGCATTCAAGAACGCGCCGTCAGATACCGTATCCAGAGATGCAGAAAGGCGCTGACGACATTGCAGGAGATCCGATAGAAGTGGTAGAGCACTAAGGCGGCGCTATCTTTCCAGACTGCCACTGCAGACAGTACTTATGGCCGGAAAGGGGGAAGATTTCGTGATCTCGCCGTGTATTCTGGCCGAGAGTAGCCTAGCATAACTCGCGCGATGTCCGAACGCAAGCCTCATGTTTTCTGATGTCTTGGTGTGAGCGATTAAGCCGAGGATTGGCCTTATCGATGGTTCGTTTTGGGGTAGTTACCATCGACTGTGAAGGTCGATTGATGACGCAGGCGCGCTCATTACGGGGGCATAAGCGATCCCTCATCCCGAAACTCTGTAGGACTTGTGCAAGGCAGCGAAGAGGGGACCCGTTGCGGAGCTTCTCGCCAAAGAAGACGGATCGCATGCGATTGCGATAGACGCTCGTGAACAACATGCTTGGACTGTCCATCTTCTGAATGCGGATCTACCACATTTGAAGCGCTGGCTGGATATTATCATGAGGTTTCGGAATCGGCGATCCGCGCGACACGACGTGGACTCCATCAGCCGGCACTTCACCCCTTCGGTGATTCGAGCATCGTGAGATCTGAGAGTGCTGTGTGATACCGGCGGTTTCATCAAGAACATACCTGCGAGCTCTCCGAGGTCTGGACCGAGGTATTGAATGAAAGCCGCCCCTATTTTTGGTGAAGGTAGCCGCGGGGTAGGCCGGACAGAGTCGGTTTATCTCGGGCGTCTATCTCGGGCGGTTTTGTCTGCCAGGAGCGGTCGAGTGGAACATGCAAGGTCTCTTGGAAAGCGCAACGATGGGCGAGTACATATAAACACCATAGCGGTAGCGCGGAAGGACGCGAGGAAGGGAAAGTGTGCAGGAACGATAGGCCGCGTCACAAGGACCTGAACGTTATCTATGCGCAAGATGGGCTGTTCACCATGCTGCTGGTGCGTGTGGGTTCGGCTTCTGGGAGCGCATTGAACGCTTCGGCCCTATGCACCCTTCCATCGAGTGTTCACAAGCGTGTATAACGATGAGCATGTGGTACTGGATGGCACACATGTCATGGAGCACTGCGGTGTTTGAGTGAGAGTTTAGGGATCCACGAGAGGGATTTTCTCATACCGTAAAGTTTGGCGCACGTTTTCTGTCCTTGAAAAATCGTCTCCGTCGCGCTAGCCTGCAGCGGCTAAAGGACGGAAGGAAGAGGGTCTTTTAGTACAATGACTAGTGTTCGAATCCAGCTATAAAGACGGCATCTCACCGGACAGATAGCCATCGCCTGCTCGGCGATGGCATCTTCCTAATATCCCCTCCCTACCGGACCGCTGTCCTCTGCGTTGCGAGAGAGCAACGCCGAATGGGCTGCCACAAAAGATCCGACTTTCCTCGTAGATTCGAGGTCATTTGAATCGGGTGCTTGGACTCCGTCAGTGGCGTGAATTCTCCGGACGATGTATCAGCCTAATTCATTGTATGTTTGGCTACTCGGTGATCGAATTCGGAGATTGAGGCACTGAGGGGATAATAAAGATTCGTGGTGGGCAGAGTAAGGCCACCGTAGAATATCATCGCGTTGGGCCAGACGCGTTCTGTCTGACCAGTGGGGCACATCGAGCCTGCCCTAATGCGCGTCATGTCCGAGACGTTTCTTTGACTTCGTGCCTCCACCTTTGTTAAGCACTCGGCTATCCGGTTTGTCTACACTCTACCAGCAAATATTTGCTACTCCTGCGTACCCGCGTTGCAACACGTAACTTGAACCCGCATCAAACGAAGACAACTTCCCTCCAATAATGTCTACCTCCACTCGCCGAAACGGCGTCACCTCGAGCTCTTGTGAGCCTGTTCCTGACGCGGGTGAGCAACGATAGCAGTTTATATCCAGTACGCCCGTATCTATTGCCTTGACGCTCATATTCACGAATCTTGCTACAGGTAACTTGCGTCGCCCATACAACCTCCGTATCCGCCGCCCTTCCACATCTCAGTTTTCCACCGCAAATCCTCCTGTGGAAACAGCTATTCGAAAGCCTAGCACCTCTCTCAGTCGGAACCCGGCACGATCCGTCAAGGCGAGGTCCTCAGTGCGGACAAGTGCCATGCCAGGGCCGACGCGTTCCAATAAACGTCGCCACTCCCCGATTGAGTTGGAGGAAGAACGCTCGCCGAAGCGACTTCGCCATATCGACGATGTCAAGTCAAGGCCGACCACACGTTCCAGCCAGCGTCGCCACGCTGCGATTGAGCCAGAGGAAGAACTCCCGAAGCGACTACGCCATATCGACGAGATCATGTCAAGGTCGACTACGCGCTCCAACAAGCGTCGCCGCTCCCCGGTTGAACCGGAGGAAGAAAGCCCGTCGAAGAAACGGCGGCACAACGACGTGACCGTTGCGTCGTGTCATCGGTCGAAGGCGATAATGGGATCCGCCCATGCGTTCGTCGACGTGAAGATCGTGCGACGCAAAGCGAAGGGTGTAGATCAGATTGTGGTGAAGACAGAGAAGGCGGTTGCACGAGCGATGAGCTCCGTTAGGAATGTGCTTGCGAATATCGCAGTAATGGAAGCACCGCGTGTGGAGACTCCACCCCAGAGTCCCGTTCAGCAACGGAAAAGACGAGGGAAGAAGGGCAGAGCAAAGCGGTACGCCATCTATTCCGTTAACTCATAAGAATCCCCCTCACGATATTACAGAAACCCTCAGCCAGAACAACCTGCCCCCCCTCGGGACGATCCTACGGACGTGCTGCTGCAAGATCCGTCTGCCGAACTCGAATCTATCATCACCTTGGCGAAGCAAATCGGTGCCAGAATTTCGAGCGTGCTCGCCGCGAGTCCGACCGAGGACCTGCGACCGCTCTACGCCGAGTTCGACGCGCTCCAAACAAAACATCCCATCCCTCACATTTGTCCACGAACCGCATCGCAACAGAAGCGTGCAGATATAGCCCGGAAATTTCCTCACCCTAGACCCCGACTTGGGGTTGATGCGCAAGGAATTCCGTTCGAAGACTGGGGTGATCGCCCTCGCCCCCGCGACAACCGCGATTTGAGAGTAGTTGCGGCGCTCAAGGAGCGCGTCCTAAGGAATCTCCTCCCGGTGCCGCTGGTGCCGCACGATCGCGTAGACTACGCCGGAGCGTTCATTGTGCCTGCGCCTATACGCCCTCGACGTCCCCGAAGACACAAGAAGCAGTTCACTGTCCAGTTTCATCATATACCCAAAAGCATCTTCTACGTTTTAGAGGCATGGAACATAGAAAGAGGACGTTGCTCCGACTGCTTCGTCAGGGCTGTGCGGTTTCTCCCGCCGTGGGTTTTGGAACTCCACAAACAAGCAGGGGAGGAGGAGGGTAATCCTACTTTCCTCAATGAGCTTCAGGACGAGTTCGCCGAATGGGATGAGGAGCGAAGGCAGTGGCGTCATTTGGTCATGGATCACTACCGCTGGATTCCGGTAGAGGAGTTAGAGGTACGGCCCAGGGATGACAGAGTTGACCCCGCTATCATCAACGGCACTGTCGCAGCACTTGTCCCTGACGTGTACAAATTTCGTTACGATTCAATGCTTCCATAACAATCGAACGGATGAACGCGTGAACTGTTGCTTTTTTGTTGCTCTACATCTTGCACCTCCCACGAGAGCAGAGCGACCCGAACTTACAACATGGTGAGCCTTATGTTCCTCTGGTAAGACTTCGCTCAGCTTTCCCGCCACTTCAACAATAAACCTTCGTGCTGGTCCGACCTTTCGGGCGATCGGGCCTCATGATCATGAACAACCGAAACAAACGACCTCTTCCATACCAGCGTGATACTGTGGGTCTCCGTCTTCTTGAAGCGAACGAAGCAAGACAGTCGTCCGTCATAGCATATCTGTCTTGTGGTCTGATGCATATTACGTTTCAGCCAGGGAACAACTTCCTTTGCTATATCATAGGTAGAGGCCACCAGCTGGTTTGATCGATGATCTGCTGCCACGACGTGGAGCGGGTCCACATTGCCATCTAGTGTGGCCTTGCAAACGGCATGGCCCATCATGAATGGTCCATTGTGTCTCGATGGGTGGACCGTCATGATGTGTATTTAACCCCATCGCCAATGCTCGCGTTCCTCGCGCTGGTTTTCCACCTTGCCCCATCACGATGGACCGGGCGTCTACACTCGATCCGACCGAAAGGTTCGTTCGCACGGTGTCGCCGGATCTACACGCATTACGTGCCAACAATTGGGGCTACTTGGAACCCTGTAACCCTCACCATGTGCATCTGCCCTTCACCAATGGGTCTGATATATGGTTCATCTATACCAAAAACAACGAGCTGCGCGTCGCAAGTAGGGAGTCAGGTGGGTAGTGCGTAATCATTAATCTTGGTCCCATACTGAGACGCGAGCATAGATCAGGGCTCTTTACTGGCCGTGGTCTTCAAATGTAAAGTTGGCAAGAATGACAAGGTCAAGATACAGCGAACCACTGCTGACGTTCCTATTCACGTATGTCCTGCGCAACCAAAGCCACGGGTTAACTCTCACTCGGACACCAGGTGAACGACAAAGAAGTTCCGCCCCCACAGCCGAACTGGATGCATGAACCAGAGTTCCGGATGCTGAAAACGGAATGCACGGTACGCATCGGCGACATGGGTAAGTGGCTATACACAACAATACGCGAGCTTCTTTAACAGCGGGAACAGAATTCATCTTTCATTTCATGAAAGACGAGATACTGATTCCCACCTACTCCCACCGCTACGAGGTTGAGGGTATAATCGGGGAAGGAGGAGAAGGAAGTAAGTATCGCATTCACTCGGCGTATCAGACCATGCGCTCACGTCTACTATCAGCCGTTTACGCTGCGATGCATAACAAGACCGGTCACGCTGTTGTAATCAAATGTACATCAGTGGCCCCAACCGGAATGCACATGATGGCGGTTCAGTTACACATGTGGCGTGAAATGGGACGCCACACAAACATTCTTACTGCGACCGACTGGTTCATGCATCCGGACTCGGTGTCAACCGAAAATAAACTAATCTGTAAGTTGTTCGTATGCAAGGATTGTCCCAATGTATTGAGGCCCTACCCCCTTAATTTAAGGCGTCGCTTCTCCTCTGGCGGCGTACGGCGATCTAGATGCCTACGTGGAATACGAGGGCGCCCTGAGTACGCGTCGGTGTGCACCATATATTGCGAGCACATGACTGATATCTCGTTTCTATCTCAGCGGAACATGCTGCGCGCTCCGTCATGCTGCAGATACTCGAGGGTCTCATGGTGAGCTCTCGGAGCTCTTCAAGGAATCACACTCACCGTTATGCGTAGTTCTTACACGGCCGTGGAATTCTTCATCGGGACATGAAGGCTGAGGTCTGTCTCATCGCTGTTAGGCATTCGAAAGCTTTCAGACCCCTGACTCCTACGTCGTAATAAACGCAGAACATTCTCGTATTTCACAAGGACAAAAAGGGTCGTCTCGATGTCAAAATATCTGATTTCGGGCTCTCCAAATTCGCTTTGACCATTGGTCAATCAGTGGTTGGTTCACTAGTTGCTCTTCTGACCGAACTGCCTGATACGAGTCTGCTCAGAGTCCGGTAGGCACCCCAGCTTGGGCCGCACCGGAGCTTCAGCATCTCCAATTCACCGAGCGCAGCGACGCATACGGAGCAGGTTTGATTCTGTTCTTCATGTAAGTCGCGGTAATTTGCCGGTCTGCTTCATCTGACTCGAGTAAAATCGCCAGCTTATTTGCCACGCGCCCCTACTTGCTCTTACAAAACAAGGCGGACCGGCATATAATTGAGCAGATGTCGAGGAGGGTGTCCCAGCTGTCCTTGATCGACGACGGCCACATTACCCCCGAGTGCGAAGGCCGGCGATTAACCCGAAGCGCATGTCGAAAGCTCATGAAAGCTCAGACGCGGGAGGATAGAAGACCCGCCATAGAGCTATCCCCAGAGTGTGAGCGCTACACGTGTTCAGCGACGTAATCGACAGCGACTAACGCAAGGTGCAGGTCGAGAGCTCCTGAAGGCTCTGACGCAGGAGGATCCGTTAGCCAGGCCCACTCCTGGGGAAGCCAGGAAGTATCGGTGGTTTGTGCGAGGAAAGCTTCCTCCGCCGTATAACGACGAGCTGCTTCTCTGGGAAGATCCTCTCGCAGTCAAGGCTCGCCAACGCAGTATTTACGCCGGAACCCGGAAATCAATCAACCAGTGGCTGCCGAGGGAGGAGACCTTGTATACGCCCACCGAACTAGGTTCCAGGATATCGGACGCACCCGCGAACGAGGAAGCAGCCTCCGACCCTGTGGATGCGCTGGCAGAAGCTGCTGTCAACATTATCGATGGAGATTCAGTCGTCGTCGACGAACAGGGCGACGAGACTGCCACGGTAGTTGCACCGGTCCTCCGACGGTCATCGCGTGTTCGGGAACAGCGCGGGGCTCGGGTCACGCGTGCGTCTAACGAAGCGTTGCCAAAAGCCAGGAAGGATCAAACAATCCGGCGGAAGAAACAGGAGACGACGCGGGTGGGCAATAAGCGCAAGTTGCCTCAGCAAGACGCCGAGCCGATCAAAAAGAAGCGCAGACTGTAGTGACGAGGGTATAATGGCAGGAAGGGAAGAAAGAGGAAGAAGCGCGAAATGGTCTAACGCTGAATGTTTTGAGTTCTGCGTATTGCAGTACTGAACTTATGTCTGATGTCATGCAGGTATTGTATAAGAATGTATGTCTCCTCTGTAACGTAATAAATCATCAATTTGACACGGAGGTTTGAGAAACGGCGTGTCTTCATTGAGGAGTGTGACAACGACGACCAGGGCCACGACGGCGCGGGGGCACGGCCAGACCTGGGGCCGGGTCCGTCGCAGTCGAGCGCCTCGTCAAAGTCTTCCCCCCACTCGCGGTAGCTCACTGAAGCTGTGGCTCATCGACAACTCCTACATATGTATATCGCTCTTTTGCATGTAACAAGCCTGTATCTCCACAGATGCACGACAAAGCAACGTCTGCTCTTGAGCGCGCCGTGGCCCCTGCCCTCCCAGGCATGATATGCATGCATGATCCATCAACCTATGATGATATCCGCCTTGAGCTCGTGCCCGTCGTAGACGGAATACTTGACCTCCGTTCTCCTCCCCTTCGCGCTTGTCACGCCGTACACGGGCAGCGTCTTCTCACGCATGAATGCCCTTGAGCCGCCGCCATAGTACTGGGGCAGGAGGACGAGCGCAGTGTCGTGCCCGACGAGACCGGTGACGACGTCACACCAA